ACGACATAACCTCGCCCTTTTGCCTGGATTCATTTGGTATTCGAAATGATAAATTAAAGAAATATTTCACGTCATTTCTAAAATGTTGGACGTTATTTGTACCAGCATGGAAAGGATACGACGATCGCTGCTAGCTACGTCTGTAATTGGGCCTATGCACACTTTAACTAGCACGGTTTACGTTAAGAAATTAAATGTACCGTAAAATATCAAATGTGTAAAACAATTAAAATTTCGCACGTTTAATTTATGATTGTATCGTCGCTGGGGAATGATCAAACTGAAAGAAGGTAATTAGGACTTGTAATTATACAGATTCATAATTGTGAATTCATTAGTCCAATTAGCAAACTTTCATTTATGGCTCATTCTTTATATTACTATAATACGTTAAAACGTAAATTTAAATTTATCTCCGGCTACCATTAACTGAGAAAACGACATGCTATTTTATAGTTGCCGTAGGGATAATGAGGTTTGTATAGCGGATCACTATGTGTGAGAAATATCTTGGTGTATCAGCCAAAGCACTTCATTTCATTACTGAGAGTTGGAAGTAGAAAAGCCATGCGGGAAGGTTTAATGCCAATTCCATTCGAGGCACTACAAACTACAAATATGGAAGTGTCATAAAATACATGTAACTGATTGAAAGTTTCGATCTTACACCAGATCAATAAAGCTCTGTCCCATGTTTTCAACATCCACTGATTTCAACAGAAGTGTCACAAACAGATTTAAAATCTCCTCTTCCCAACAGCACTTCTGTATCTCCTCTACCTTGCAAGAACTACGAGTTCTTCATGAATATTCACGCATTACACAAACAAATCTGCAATTCCATAGCATGGTAATGTAACGCACTGATACGCCTGCTTTCAACTGTTCCAGGCTCGGTTACACTTACAGCTACTTTCCTCTGAACCTTAGAGGGAGTAAAATGGAGTACGCCAGTGGAAACTTCACAGATTCCAAATACGAGGTGCGATCGGAAAGTTTCAAGACTGTGTCAACAGCGGGCGAACCGGATGTAGTACGAGCTTCTGCCGCTAGGGGGGGCGGCCTACATTCAT